AAACAAAGGAGGAGGCAACAATGCTTCATAAGAAATGTACTCATTACCTTGCTCATGTGATTGTAACCCCTCTGCACAGTACTTTCACAATAAAAAAAATTTAAAAGGGGCTGGGAAGGTGGCTCAGTGGTAGAGCACTTGCCTTGCATGCATGAGGCCCTGGGTTCGATTCCCCAGCACCACATAAGCAAAAAGAAAAAAACGCCAGAAGTGGTGCTGTGGCTCAATGGTAGAGCGCTAGCCTTGAGCTGAAGAGTTGAGGGACAGCACCCGGGCCCAGAATTCAGGCCCCATGACCAGACCCCCCAAAAAAAATTTAAAAAAAGAAGAAAAGAAAAAGAATGAATGTGTGGGGCTGGGAAGGTGGCTCAGTGGTAGAGTGCTTGCCTAGCATGCCTCATGAGGCCTTGGGTTCGATTCCTCAGCACCACATAAACAGAAAAAGCCGGACGTGGCACTGTGGCTCACATGGTAGAGTGCTAGCCTTGAGCTGAAGTGCTGAGGGCCAGCATCCAAGCCCAGAGTTCAGGCCCCACAACGGACAAAAAAAAAAAAAGAAAAGCAAAAAGAAAAGAATGTGTTTCTAATTCCTGATTTTTTTTTGAGACAAGGTCTGATGATATACCCCAGGTTGGTAGTGAACGTTCAATCCTCCTCAGCCTCCCAACTTTTCACTTCTATTCTCAGCTACTATGTTTCTCTAGACTTTCCTAAAGCATTATTTAACATACTTTGCGAAACATATTTTTGGAAGGCTTAAAACTTTTCAAAATATGTCACATATAAATTTACTGGGAAGCTGACATTTCTTACTGTCCTCTTGACAATCTGTATACTTAATCATTGTTAAGGGTCCTCCTCACATTGTTTCTATAGCATATAACATTCTAAAAACATTCTAGAAATAGATGATCTGCCACAAGTAATGCTCAGCTTAAAAATGCAGTTGTGATGTTAGGCGAAATGAACCCCAAGATAAGGATTCAAATATTTTTTTCTTTCTTGCAACTGTTTCTAACGTATTTATAAAATGATTTATTTGTTGCTTTGTATGCCCCTCCCCCACAGTATAACCCCTGTTTTCACTGTATTTGATGTTGGTATAATTTGTGGAGGGGAAGGAAAAAACAAATTGTTTAAATAGGGATACAGGTGGACCCATTGCAACAATGAAATGTACAAGTCTTATGTTGAAAAACGAACCTTACAATTTTGGCAGGGGGGGGCGATAATGTGGGGATGGGGGTGGGGGGGTGGGAAGGGGAAGTATAGGAGGAGGCTACAATGCTTGATAAGAAATGTACTCATTATCTTGCCCATGCAATTGTAACCCCTCTGTACAGTATTTTCACAATAAAAAAAATAGAAGAAAAAAAGAAAAAAAGAAGTTGTATTTTTGATAATGACAACATCCTGTTTCAGTTCAATTAATGTGTACCGCTGCAATGGTATACAAGACAGTGGGCTAGAATATGAGAATTCAACCAAGAGAGGCTAAATCTCTACCCTTAAGGACCTCACATGACTAGCCTCTCTTATCAGGGCATCAAGAGAAACACACAAAGCAAACACTCCCTTTATGACAACCTAACAAGTATGTACTGTGAACTACAGAAAGTCCTTAACTTTGCCTTGGAGCTGGGGGAAGGGTCTATTACACAGGAGAGCATCTGTGTACTCAGGATACCCAGGAATTTCTCAACTGCATTAGGAAGATTAGCAGGAATAAAGAAGACTAGAGGTGGGCTGGGAAGGTGGCTCAGTGGTAGAGTGCTTGCCTTGCACGCATGAGGCCCTGGGTTCGATTCCTCAGCACCACATAAGAGAAAAAGCCGGAAGTGGCACTGTAGCTCAAGTGGTAGAGTGCTAGCCTTAAGCTGAAGAGTTGAGGGACAGCGCCCAGGACCAGAGTTCAGGCCCCACAACTGACCAAAAAAAAAAAAAGAAGACTAAAGGTATAGAATTATCTGGCTGCCAGAGCCATAAATTGTCCAGTAAACTGGAATGCTGGGTAACTGATGGGCAGTGAGGGTTGTATTTCTAAAAACAATGACCTTGGAACTAAAGGGCCTCAAGGGTCATCCTGGGGGTTCTAGAATTTGCTCCACAGAGTATGTCTAGTCCTTATGGTTTTCTGCCACTTAGGACCTTGGGGCTGCTAAAGCAGAACTGCTGGGAATTTGGGAAAGGAGCAGTGAGACCCTTGCAAGGATCAGTTATGAGATGGGCCTCAATGAAGGCAGAGGGAAAAGGAGGAGGGTCCAAACCCACAGATCCATGAGAAGTGGAATCCAAGAATGGTAAATGACTGAAAGTGGGAAGAGACAAAATACAGTGGACTGAAGACCCCTAATAAACATGGCCTCTTTAAAAGGTCAGAACAGTGACTTTTAACCCAGGAAAAGTACTTAAAAGCACAGAATGATCTCCCTCTTTTTCTTTTTTCTTTGGGTTAAGACAGGGTGCTAAGAAGCCCAGCCTGACCTGGAGCTCAGGATCCCTGGCTCAGGCTCCCCAGTGTTGACATTGTAGGCATGCACCTGACAACTCTTACTTCAAGTTGACAATTGCTCACTGGAAGAGCCAGGTACTCACTACTTACTGAATTAGTACTTTCAGAAGGGTTAAGCTTGCTTAATGAAAGAGGAAACTGAGACTCAGAATGTAAATGATTTGCCAAAAGCCACAGCTAGCAAACAGCACATGTCTGCACTGCAGCCACTAGAAGGACCTTTTGTTCTTGTAAAATTCCTTTATCTAAAACCTGACATTATTGATCTATAAATTTTTAATCTTTTCACTTGGAAAATGACAGCAGTGGACTAACAGGATCATTATTACATAATCCAAAGTTAGTTTTCTAGTCTGTAGAATTTAGCTGCTCTTACCAAAAAAATACCATAAAAGGGTAACTGAGGTGGGTGTTAATTTTTTCACTCTAGTAGCCTTTGTACCTGTATCCCATAATACTATGTCACATAATTACATACACAAAATAAAAATTTGATTAAAAAAATAAAGCCAGGTGCTGGAGGATCCTATTTGTAATCCCAGTTACTCAGGAGGCTGAAATCTGAGGGTCACAGTTCACAGCCAGCGCAGGCAGCAAAGCTATCAAACTCTTATATCCAATTACCCATCAAAAAGCAGGAAGGAGAGGTGTAACTCAAGTAGCAGAGTGCCAATCTTGAGCAACAAAGCTCAGGGACAACACCCAGGCCCTGCGTTCAAGCCTTAGTACTAGCGTACCTGCATGCACACATACACATACATACACATACATACAAATTTAAAAAAATTTTTAAATCAGTAATAAGCCAGGAACTGGTAATAAAATCCTAGCTACTCAGTAGGTTGAGTCTTGGAGGATTGTGCCCAGGCAGGAAAGTCCATGAGACTCTATCTCTAATTAACAAGTAAAATGCTGGACCTGGAGGCATAGCTCAAGTAGTAGAGCACCAGCTGTAAGTGAAAAAGCCAAGGGAAGCCGGGAGTGTGCGCGTCCGGTTGGCGTGTTGCCTGTCAGCGGAGTGTTGCTCATGGTCGGTGTGGTGTAGCCTCTGGTGAAGCATGTCTAAAAGTTTACAGAGTAAGTAGAAAAGGAAAATGCGTGCTGAGAAGACAAAGAAGACAAAGGAACTCAACAGACTTAAAAGTATTCTCAAAGTCAATGGTAATGTTTTCATGAAAGATGTTGAAGAAATAGCAACGTGGTGGCACCCAAACATTGCCAGGAGAAAATGGATTGTGTGGAGAAGGATGAAAATGATGACACGAAGATGGAGACTGAAATTAAAAGAAACAAAAAAACTCTTTTAGACCAGCATGGACAGTACCCAGTACGGATGAACCAGAGACAGAGAAAACGGCTGAAGGCAAAGTGAGAGAAAGGAAAGGGAAAAAACAAAGCAAAAGCAGCAAAGGGTCTGGCCTGGTCACCTCTTAAAAACTTGAAAATGTATCAATGGGAGAGATGTTTGATTAAAATGTATACCTTGAAAAAAAAACTTGAAAATGTATCAATGGGAGAGATGTTTGATTAAAATGTATACCTTGAAAAAAAAAAAAATCCAAGAGACCCTGAATTCAAGCCCTGGTACTAGCAAAAATAAATCAACAACTTAATCTTCCCTGTATTTGGCACTTAATGAATTTCAAGGAATTTTATTTACATCTTATGATGATAGGCCCATAGATTTTGCTGTCTATAGACATTGTGTCTTAAGATAATTATAATGTACAATTAAGATTTAACAGTGTTCTTTTTTCTATTTTTAATAGAGCATAAAGATTGATTCTCATCAGGCAACTGATCATAAGATTGATCTCATAACCAATGGCATCCTAAATGAGATGAAGTACAGGATCTTATATCCACCTTTCTCAGTGATTGTGCTTAGAGAGTTGAGACTACCTTAGTTTACCGAGAAATTCCACTGTTTGTTTCCTTCCAATTAATTCTCGCTCAGTACTTCCTATAGCTAAACCAAATAGCATTTCCTTTTGTGACTTTTTTCCTTTAACTTAATTCCATTTTTTTTGAAAGAAACTTTACCTTTTTAACACTTTTTTATATGTACTGTGATGATCTAATACAGTAACACATACTTGGGCACTGGTGGTTCACACCTATAATCCTAGCTACTCAGATGCTGAGATCTGCATATCCCACTTTGAAGCTAGCCAGAGCAGGAAAGTCTATAAAATTCTCATCTCCAATTTACTATCAAAAATCTGGAAGCAGAGGTGTGGCTTAAGAGGAAAAGCAGAAACCTTGAACGAAAAGTGTTTTCACTCTTCAGATTAAGACATGTTGAAGTGCCTCATCCCAAAATTATTTGTCATGGGCAGGCTAAGGAAGCCTTGGCAAGTCTATTTTTCCAAATTTTCTAAACTGCTGGCAAGAATAAATAAGTTACATACAATATATATGCTTACAGATTAATAACCAAGACCAATGAAAAGAGTTGCAATGTCCTGCAAGTAATATGGCAGCATACCTGGGATGCTCTCTAGTTTCCTTCTGAGCTCTTCATTTTCCTGCTGCAGTGAAATAACCTCCTGCTCCAGCTCTTGGCATCGAGGACAGTAGCCTTCCTCTTCCTCCTCTTCTTCCTCCTCGGGCAGGGTAGAAGAGGATGGGTGACCATGAGATTCAGATGTTGCTGGAGAAGTCCAACCACCTAGTGTATGCACAGGGGAGGTTGAAAGAGGATCCACGTCGGCCAGGTGGCTATACTCACTGACCGATGATGTGTTTGGAGTCGGGAAGCTCCCCGAGAGTAGGTAATTTTGGAGGGAGTCGGTAAAAACTCTCAAAAAGGCAGAAGTTTGTTGTTTCCTTTGCATATATTGCATCTCTATGTCGACATTGTCTGAGGTCTGGCTGTGGACCCCTTTCCCAATGTGACATGGTTCTTGTCTGTCATTGTAACTAGAGCCTTCTTGCTTTATGCAAGAAATCATAGATTGAGAATGGTTGGAGTCCAGAAGTTTTCCTCCACAATTTAAGAGACTAAGAACACGACTGCATTGCTGGGCAAAAGCATCCAAGATCATACGACTCTCTGAAAAGAAATAAAAAGAAACATCAGTGGCTGACAGCCAAAGGCAAGGAAGATGCAAAGTCCTCAATTTTGACTTGATGTTCAACCATATTTTAAAAAATAGGCATTTCTAGCTTCTGTCATAAATCGAGGAAACGAATCCCCTATTAACAAGACACAGATTCCTGAAAGGCCTGGTGAGGGATCCCACACTCCTCTAAGAATGAACTGGGCTTTGACCCTAGGCCCCATGGAGATTTTCCTCTCTGTAGCATTCATTGGTCTGCACAGATCTAATTGCACACCTTTGGTTTCATTAATATCTTTACTCTAATGAATTGAGCTGGCCACTGATACTCAATTCTTCATTGATAGGAGGGCTTACAGCAATCATTACTTCTATTTCTGGAGTGCCCTCATGCCCTTGCTATTAATCAGCTGATACAATCCCTGTTGAGAGAACGCAGCTCCAGATGCAAAGTGGAGAAGAGAGATAAGTCTTTTTGTAGAGCTCACTAGAAATCTCAGGTAAAACAAAGAGTGCGTCTATAAGCGAAGGATGAGCACAAAACTGTGGTTTATCTAACAAATGTGTTCACTGTGCTGCTTTTTAATTTACCTGCTAACTTGGATTCGTCAAGGTTAATGCTTATGCTGCCCTCAATCAGCATCATTTGAAAAATCACTCGTGCCTCTTCTCAGAGACACTTCCATCAGACTGTCAGATCTCCTAATACGGCATCAAGTAGCCCACATTCATGAATTCTAAAGCATCTAACAAGCAGTGAAAAGCAGAAAGCAAACCGAAAACCCAAGCAAAAATAAAGAAAAAAAGCCCTCCCAATTTGTGAAAAATGTTACTGCTGTCAGCCTAAGGTTCTTGAAAAACAGCCTGAATGTGTCATAAGGCAGCTTCTCTTCTTCCTTGCTACACCCTACAATGGGCTATTATAAATGGAGTGATACTTTGCAGGACTTACACAGTGGTAAGAGGATGTCTCTTATTTCCCCTCTGCTTAACCCCCCACCCAAAAAAAAATTGGCAACAACAACAACAAAATACTGGAGACTGCAGATGCCAATAATTCTATGATAGAAATACAGCTAGCCACTGGCTGTCCCTGAAAATGCTAACTAGCTGCACTTTTTTTCTGGAAGAAAAAGAAACTTTTAAGGTAAAACATGATGAGAAGCTTAAGGGCCTCCATGAGGCTGGAAAGACTGTAATAAACCCTCTACAAGATATAAGGCATGCAGCCATAGATACAACACTTTAAGAGGCCTCTATGTTAAACAGGCACTGTAGTGTGCACCTGTAGGTATACTTGGGAAACTGAGGCACATGGGGAGGGAAGGGAAAAAGGGAGGGAGGGAGAAAGGAAAAGGAACAGGGAAAGAAGACGCAGAAACAAACAAACAAAAAAGCTGGAAGTTGTGGCTAACACCTATAATCCCAGCTGCAGGCCCAGGAGTCCGAGACTAGGACGATCATAGTTTCAGGCTAGCCTAGGTAAAAAGTTAGCTAGGTCCAACAAATAGGCCAAGTGTCATAATGCATATCTGTCACCTCAGCTATGTGATAAGGACAGGTAGGATGATCTCAGTGAGGGGGCCTTCCTATCTGAAAAAATAGGGCTTGTGTTAAAACTCCAGTGCCATCAAGAGAGTAACAGTAATAATACAGCCAGACATGGAGACACAGTCCTGTAATCTTAGCTACCTGAGAGATTGAGAAAAGAGGATTTTGAATCCAAGTCTAGAAACTAGCAAAACATTTTGTCTCAAAAAAAATCTTTTAAAAAAGGGCAGAGATACAGATCAGCAGCAGTGTACATGCTAGGCTTTAGTTTCAATCCACTGACTCAAAGGATATTTAGAAAGTCCATAGGATAATGCTTTGTACCCCTTACTTCTCCCCAATCTGTATGATGATACCATCCCAGACTTTTCCCAACTCAGAGACCAGATCTCTTCCATCCAAGTGATTAGACTACACTGAGGAGGAAATACTGACTGGGCCAGGCACCGGTGGCTCACACCTGTAATCCTAGTTACTCAGGAGGTTGAGATCTGAGGATCACAGTTCAAAGTCAGCCTGGGCAGAAAAGTCCATAAGACTCTTATCTCCAATTAACCAACAGAAAACTGGAAGTGGCACTGTGGCTCAAGTGTTAGAGTGCTTGCATTGAGCTGAAGAGCTCAAGGACAGGGCCAAGGGCCAGAGTTCAAGCCCCATGACTGACAAAAACAACCACAAAAACCTGACTGGATGTGAGGCAGGGTTCTTATCAATAACACAGAGACCTTGGTTCATAGTATTTCCAAACTTATTTGCCTGGGGTGGGATGACAGGACCACCTTAAGATGGCACTATCCCACCCTTGGGGTAGCACTTCCTTACTTTCCCAAGCCTGCCTGACCCTCCTCTTCCAGCCTATCATCTCCCTATAGCAAAATCCTCAAGATCTACAAATTCCCTACATAAACTTTAAGGGGTTAATGCTGGCCTCTTTCTTGAGCTATCCATCCAGATAGACAGATAGACCATGGTACCAGAGCTCAGAGTATATAGACTGGGCATTTCTATGTATGTGAAGTCTTTCCTCAGGATGGAAGATGAGGCAGAGTAGAAAGAGAAGACCATGGGTTTGTCTGAAAATCCCCCAAGGCAAGTCTGGTCATTATGAAAGATATCTGTCAATGCAAGTGAATAAATGAAACGTATTTTACTTTACAGCAGATTAGCTTCACTCAAGCTTTTCAATTACTTCATACATGTTACACGGGCCTGCTTTACATTTCTATCCTAAGTCTCATAAATACTTTGGATGCCATTTCTTTACAATGACCTAACTATTTAAATAAGAAAGTGAAGGCTTAAGATGTTCCACTCTCATTATTTTACTTCCTGGTTTTTGTTCTTTTATTAGTAAAATCAAAGAATGATATTGATTGGGAATGTTCAATTCTAGCACAACAGCAGTTTTCATTCATTTTAATCCTATAATCCCATTCTAGACCTGAAGTTGTATTTACTGTTTGCATTTTAATCAGCCTTGTCCCAATTGATTTCCATCTATACACCTTTAACATAACCTTGATAAAAGGGACAAATATACAAGGATAGGCTGAAACACTATTGCTTAGCAAGAGGCTGCTCAAATATATCTGTCCATTGTCCTACAAAATACTCAGTAGTTTTAATCATATTGATGAATCACATTATAACATAGATTTTTAAGGGGAAAAAAACTGACTTAGGGACAAGTGTGATTTGTTTTCTTAATTGAAGGATAAACTCATAACATGCTGAGAAAAAAATCATTATGTAATATACTACATTATGAAGATAATCTATTAAAGTACACTCAATATCAGAAAAGAGTTACAATCAAAATAGTTCTTGCCTGCAGTTTTGGAAAGGCTTCATTCTACATTCATTCTCTGGATATAGAAAAACTGGTAAGGGGGCTGGGAAGGTGGCTCAGTGGTAGAGCGCTTGGCTTGTATGCATGAGGCCATGGGTTCGATTCCTCAGCACCACATAAGCAAAAAGAAAAAAAGCTGGAAGTGGTACTGTGGCTCAAGTGGTAGAGCGCTAGCCTTGAGCTGAAGAGCTAAGGGACAGCGCCCAGGCCCAGAGTTCAGGCCCCAAAACTGGACCCCCCCCAAAAAAAAGAAAAACCAGTAAGACATTTCAAGTTAAATTTTTCCTTTTTCATTACATTAATTTATCTTAACAGTATGATTTTACACTAATAAGCAAGATTTTGAAAAATATGACTACTACATTTGGTGGAAGAAACAGCAACTCTCTCCACTTTATATTGCAAATAGTGATACTTAAGCTTTCTAGATGAATGTAATTAGACATGTAAGTGCAGTGTGATGCCCATTATAAGTGAAGTTTATAGTTGTCATACCAACACAATGGAATGTCTGTGGATCATTGATTTTTCTGTTTTGATCGGTTGTAGGTCTTGAACTCAGGGCCTGGGCACTGTCCCTGAGATGCTTTGTGCTCAGGGCTAGCACTCTACCATTTTGTGCCACAGCCTCACTTCTAGTTTTTGAGTATGTAAGTGGAGATAAGAATCTTATGGGGACTTTTCTGCCCAGACTGGCTTCAAATTTCGATCCTCAGATCTCAGACTCCTGAGTAGCTGGGAGTACTGGTGTGAGTCACCGCCATCCGCCTTGATTATGATTCTTCTTTTTGCTTTTCTTTCTTTGTTGATCCTGGGGCTTGAACTCTGGGCCTTGGCTGTCCCTGAGCTCTTGAGCTCATGGCTAGCACTCTACCACTTGAGCCATAGCACCACTTCTGGTTTTCTGGTGGTTAACTGGAGATCAGAGCCTCACGGACTTTCCTTGCCCAGGCTGGCTTTGAACCTTGAACCTCAGATCTCAGCTTCCTGAGTAGCTAGGATTACAAGTGTAAGCCACCAGTGCCTGGCCTTGATCATGAGTCTTAACTAAGCATAGTATGAACAAGTATTTTGATTTTTTTCAACTTTTTTGTTCTAGTCATAAAGATGTTCTAGGCAAAGATGGCAGAGAATCCGAGTCAACAGCATACAAAGGGGCTTTAAAACTGCCTGCTTTATCCCAACTTCACTAAAAGGAAATACTTGAAAAACAGTAATAAATCACAACCACAAAGCACTTTAAAAATGACCACTTCTCATTCATTTTGCTTTATTGTACAGCCTTTTGGGAGATAGTATCATACTGCAAATGATGCTTGGTCTGATTCAAAAAAAATCTCAAGTCATTCCTTTATTTTTTAATTAAAAATTTCATTCCTAGAAATTCTTCTGCATTTAGATGTTTAATCCATCCTAAATCTGATAAGTGACTAAGAGAAGGGAGGGGAAGTAGACAATCACGCAGCCTCCCTACTTTAATGCCCTGTTTGTAAGGAAAGACTGCACAGAATGTGCCAGCACAGAAGATCCCCGGGAGAATCCTGTTTCTATGAGGGAGATCACAGTAGTCAAGATTAGTGGTAACCTTTTGATTTTAGACCACTTTAGGGTGAAATATATTAATATTAAAAATGGAGAAGCAGAAAATTTTTAGGGGCCTGTCATATATTCATATATCTTCCATAAAAGCTTTCAAGTAGTTCAAAATAGATGATTTCCTTAAAATACTAAATTCACGTCTTTTTAAGAGAGGAGTTCTTGGAATAGAAAATAAAGTTCGGAAATGAAAGCATCACCCTTTGAACAATGTCTTTTTTTTTTTTTTAAGAAAAATGCCATCCAATTTTTTTTCATAATGACAACATCAACACAGCAAAACAGCATGCAATTTTTCTAAATAAATAAATCAATGATGTGTCAAAAATTAACAGATGAGTTAATATACTCGGTGCTATCAAAACCAGATGGTGCTTCCTAATATTCATCCTGCTCAGTCAATCCCTGAATATTTTCTGGACCATCGGTATATAAAATAGGATGCTGCTATTTGTGATGGCAAACAAAAGCAATCATGCCTGCCAAGCACATACTATAACAGGCAGCATTTCAGCTCTGCTAGACAGAAAGTAATTAGAATGCTTTTAATGTCCAAAAGAATGATGCTGATAGGCTGCCACAGATGTGTAGATTTATGAATATTTATATGGTGGTTTATAGCTGACACTTTTATCAGTTGAAGAAGATAAAATATCTGCCTGACTCAAAAGCTTGACAGTCAGGTTAATAAAATCTCATTAAAGAGAATGACCTATGCAATTATATAGGATTTATTGTAATTCATTTTTGATTGTACTCTGCTTAAAGATGCAATTTCCCATTTCCTGATGCCAAATTTAGGCTGCATATCAAGATCTACGTGGGTTTTAACTCTAAGCCTCCCACTGAGGAAAAATATGCTTTTAAAACCATGGTGTATTACCCCTTTTAAGGAAAATTATACTCTTCATAAGATTTTATAAGATTGTTGAAAAAATCTATTTTTAATCATGTTTCTCTTCTCGATGGCTTATGGCACTTAATAGCAAATAAAATTCACTTCAACCCTTTCATCTTTTCACTGCATTTACCTTGGACAGTCAGCTTTGCTTCTCCTATCCGGACTCACGTGATCATATTGAAGTTTTACAATTTTCAGTTTACTAGGTGGTATGCAATTCTGCAGTCAGATATCACATTGTTCTGAGGGTTCAACAGGCAAAGCTCCCACCAGCAGGCCCCACCCCACGCGTTTAAATGGCCCTGGTGTGTACATGAGCTTATTGGTTCAAAGTGGTACCATTAGTTCCTCCAAGAACCAATCAGCGATCTAGGTACTGTCCTTCTGATGGCCACTCACATCTCTGTGCCTGTTGAGATGGCTTTGTCCATTGATGAGTAAAATGACCACAATCTGTGATTTTATAGTTCTATGGCCTTTTCCATCTTTTGCCTCTGTAATATTTTACTCAATTTGTGGAAGTAATCTACATTCCATTTCTCATCTTTCTAACAAGTAGTAGGCAGTCAGCCAGTCTCTGTGTTATCTACCCTCCCTAGGACTTCAGAAGGTTGAGTTCAACCCCAGGACTGCCTAAATAAATAAATATTTAAAAAGTAGCCTTTAAAACAGGGAAGTTGGAAGGGTATCCAAAAAGCTCCTTCACACCTTTATAGTGAACAATGTTCATGTCTACCAGAGGTCAGTGACAAAACAAACAGAATGAGAAAGAGGGTTGGGGCCACAAAACAAAATCCCACCACATGAGGGGAAAATAGCAGAGAAACTTTCAGAGCCAGAGTAACTATGGGAAGATGGCAAGTGTCTGCAGCACAAAGAAACCTACAATATGGACATGTCCAGGAAAAACAAGGTTAAGCTATAGATAAAAACAGGAATGAGAGGAGGCAGATTTACAATGTATAAAGGGAAGTAAAAGATTGGAAGATAGTCAGCAAAACCTGAAAGGATGAGTACAAGGAGATGAAAAGCTGAACCAAGCTCTTTTGTAAAGGGGGGGGGGAATCCCCAGTGGACATGGTGGAACCAAGGTTAAGCAACGAATAAACAAGATGGAAAATGGACCCAAACTGCAAAAGAAACAACATAAAAAAGGATATGCCAGAACAGGGAAATAAACGCGCATGAATAAGATCCCAATCTCCAGAGGGTACATGAACCTCAAAGAAGAAAAATGAGAGAAATGCAAGCAGGCAAGCAGCTAACAATGAATATAAAACACAATGGAATATTGGACCAACTGCAACTGGAGATGGGGGGAGCCACCCCCCCCAAGAATGCAAGATTCCCACTCAAAACCTTCACACATCTCCTAGTCTGTGAGGGATGTGACAGAACATCCCTGATAACCTGTAATTAGATTTTTCTTACTCAAAACCAATCCCTCACGTGTCAAAATATTGACAAACAGTTGAATGTTTAGCTCATCTATAACTCATTGAGAGACAAAGCGCTGCTATTTTCACTAGGGAAAAGAGGGAGAAAAAAAACACTCCCGTTTACTAATAGGCAGAATTTAGAAAACTTTAAAAAGCGCCGTGAGAAGGAACTTTAGTTCACACAAGCTAATGAACCGGCCTGTGGGTCCTCAGGGAGCGGGGCTCGCCCTTGGGTGCAGGCCTCAAGCAACGGCCTCTCCACCAAGCCGCGTCCCTCCCAACAGTCCTGCAGTGCGCCGGCCTTCCCCGGGGTCTGCTCGCAGGTTCGCGAGCCAGAAGCGTCTTGAGACCCCCCGGGGCGCGCGCGCGCGCGC